GGTTGGGCAATATCAAGAAAACAACCGTCTAGGGGCAGGTAAAGCCAATGCATCCAGCATACCGCATGTGTTGAGTCAAATTGCAAAAAGAAAAGATTAGTACGAGCATACTAGAAAAGTTGCAAAAATTGAAGCATATATATATATCAAAGGCAAATATGGGAAAAATCGACTCAGTCGGCAAATTCTATTAATCAAAAATCATTGTCAGCCGAAACTACGTCCGGGGAAAAGAAGAATACATGAAATACTCGGCTCGCAGGCCTGAGATAGAAAAAGAAAAACAATCAAGATTCATTGCTGAGACGTCTGACGTCTGGCCCTGGCCGGATGGAGGAGCATCCTGAGTTTGCTGGGCCTGATTAGCATCAGTCAGCGCTCGTTCTTCCGCCTGCTCCTCCCCATCTTCCTCGACAATGCCAACCCATTCCTCGAAGGGAGCCGACTTCTCAAGCCCAAGAGTTTGAGCGTCGTACACCTCGGTGGCGTACTTATACCTTAGCTCGAAAAACTCCCATTCGGTGTCCGGGTGGATGAGGGTCCAGGCCATTTTCATGCGAGCCTCACAGTCCCGCTCATTTTCAGCAACCAGCTGGTCCTGCTCGGCTTCTAGCTTGGCCTTGTGATCAGCTTGCGTCTGGCCAGCTCGTTCTTCAGCCAGGAAACGTCGGCCCTCAGTTGGGTGTTCTCTTTGTCGGCATCCCCCAGCGCTTTGACGTCGGCCTGGAAGTTTTTAACTTGCAGCTCAAAGTCAGCCGCCTTCTTGTTGGTCGCGTCAACGACCGCAATGAGCTCCTTGATTGTCTCCTCCTGTTTCATCTCCCGACTTTTAGTTTGTATTTCATACATTAAAGTGTTGTATTGAGTAACGTCAATAAGGTCAGTCGCCTGCCAATTGACGTCTCTTACCTCCTCTTGCTTCTTCCTCAAGGGAACCTTAAGGCCGTCTAATCTTAACATCACCATCAAAACCAGCTGGAAAAGGGTTAGCCTCTCAATTGTGGTACAATCGGCAAAAGAGTAAATTGTAAAAAAGCACCCCAACCGGCTAATTACCTCAGCAAGCAGCTAGTTGATGCGGTCAATGTAGACCTGGTGCACACCCGGCACCGCCTCCTCTTCGGACCGGGTAAGGGTCCTCAACATCCTCTTGGCATATTGTTGGAGCTCAGGCCAACGGGAAGAGGCATCTGCACCAACAGATTCATTCGTTAAGTATTAAGCATAGGCGACACCTATATTCTGTCGGCAGCCTAAAGAATCCCCTGATTGGGTAGCTTGGGACTTGACTCGCATAGGCTCAATCGGCCAGGGGGGATCAAAGGTGAGAGCCATACCTTCATTTCCAGGCTGAGGGGTCATCCCACCCCAAGCCGCATTAGAACTAGTCGCTACAGCAAGCTGCCGGCTTAAGGGAGTTTCAGGCTCCCTCATCTCAACCTCAGCCGGCCCTGTGTTTAGGCCAAGGTCTTTCAGGCTCTTGCCTGCTGAGGTGGGCCTGTCAGGCACAAGCGGCCTTCCGGAAGAGGGAGGGGCAGCCGGAGTCCTCCTAGACTTGGAAGGAGGCTGGGAGGGCTCCTCGCCCGGTCTTTTTAGCATCTTTGTCAGGGAGCGAGGAATGTTCTTGCTCCCCGTCTGAAAAAAGAAACAAAGAAACCGGTTAATATCATAATTGACGTCAAACTATACAGACGGTAATATCAGCCGGAGCTTACCCCATCATCCTTGGCCACCAGTTGGGCCCTCTTCTTCTCTAACTGATCCTTCCAGATCTGAGCAGCCAATTTAGCGAGTGTCTTCTCTAGAGGCACCATCTCTAATCCTTTCTCTACAAAGAAGAAAATCAAAAATTCAAATGCCATTCAAGAAAGATACAGGTGGCATAAAGTGCCGGTTATCAGTCACCATACGTCTGCTAAACATTGTGCTAAGGCCACGGGCGGAAAGGAAAGCCAGTCCGGATGAGGGACCCAGTTCTTGGGGACAATGATTTCAATCCCATCATCCAAAGGCATTGAGGTTCCCTTAAAGAGCCTCGTCTCCATTATTTGCATCCAAGCCTCTTCCGGTACTCTGGGAAGGGCGCATTTCTTTCCAAGGAGAGTCGGGTGCTTATTGTAGTGACTCAGCCGGTGGTTCAGACACAACGATGGAGAAGAAACCAAGTAAAAATTGCTCTTCCAGCTGCTCCACTTTGACGGCTTGTCAAGCGTCATTGTGTATTCTGAATGCGTGGTCAATGTATACCACGCATTCCAGCAGCCTGGGGCATGGCTGAGGTAGTACATATGTGCAAACGCCTCCCAACTAGGCGTTATGTCCTGCATTTCGCAAGCGGCAATGTATCCTATTATATTCACCCAGGAATTAGGTGTTAATTGCCAAACGCCAAGGTTGTAGCCTCTTAGAATGGCTTTTATTGTATTGTGGAGGGGGAACCGAAGGCCGGATTTAAATGCTACCTCATAGCAGCCGAAATAGTCGTTGGCATGGTCAAGATCATCATCCCAGACGACGATTACCTCTACAGGCGGCACTACAATTTCCCATCCTTTCCCAACCGGGCACTTCTTTAAAAATCCGGGTAAGGTAGCGTTCAGAGTGACCACATCCCTGGCGGTCATGTGTGCCTCTATTGGATTATTGATGGAGGGTCATTTATACGCCTCCTCATTCCCTTGGGGGGCATCCGGTTCCAAGGTAGACTATGAAGAGTCTGATTGTTGGACGATCTCTTCACCGCCTATCCTCAGACTCTTCTAAAATGTCATCACTAGGCGTGCTAGGTACACCCGGATGGTCATAATGTACAAGGTCAGCCGGAGCTTCGGCTGAGCCGTCTGATTGGTAGTCAGGGTCTACAGCCGTCCGTCTCGTCCGAGCATTCTGTCATGCACATGAACAGAGACGGTCGGATTTGCAGAAGAGTAAGGGTGGTCCAAAAACCCCCAGACGGCATTCCTAGTCCTAGACTCAGCCGTATCCGGTGACCGGCTGACAACTGTCCTAGGCCGTGCCGTGTGTGTGTTGGGTGATTCCATTATTCTTTACAAGCTATACAACCGGAAAAACTCAAAAAAGTTGCAAGGAGTAGAGACGGTACCTCGAAGAAGTTTTGAGTTTGAAGGAGGTTGACTATCTGGATCAGCAGCCGGAATTCTCTGTGTTGCTTGCTAGATACCCAGACGGTTGCCCGGATGTACCCACTTAAAGAGCAAGTGAATTGGAGAAAAACCCAAGCGTTCCTCTGAAGTTTTGCTTGAAGATACCCCATACGGTTGACCGGCTGTGGGTGTGTTAAAAGCTAGGAGGATGTCAAGAGACCCTCAGGTGGTTTTAATATGTTTTGAATGAAGAAGCACTCAGACGGTAACCGGTTGAGTGAAGAAAAGGAAGACGGTTGTGCAAGAACTAGCAGCCGGTATCAGAGCTCTCTTTTCTCAGAAAAATTTCTCAAAAATTGCAAAGTGTGAAAATGAGGGGAGGGGGTCTCTACTTATAGAGAACCCCAGAAGGCAAACTATCACCTTCCAAATTCAAATTCAAATTCAAATTCAAAAAAAACAAACAAAAAGAGAGAGAGAAGGAGACGAAACGTCACCTCCTCACATCATGACACTTGTCACAGGTGCCACGTGGCGCCTATGAGGGGCAAATGTTTAGGGTAACACTACCCCCCTGTCCACGTGGACCAATCACGTAGTGACACGTGGCACTCCAACCCTTGAAAGGGGAACTGATCCCCTCGCACTATAAATAGAGGAAAATCCTCATTTATTGCACATTCATGAATATACACACAAAACTCGAGCAATATTAATTACAGAATTCTCTCAGAATCCGAGAGAAAAACCTTTACATTCCGCACTTTTATACATCCAGATACGTTCTAACTTGATCGTTGGAGACAGAACTCCACCCAACCGGAGTTTTCCGTGGTTTTGTAGGTACAGACGGTCGACGCACATTCTTGGAATTGTAACTCTCCTGAGGGACTCAAAAAAACAATTCAGTTTGTTTTTCTTTGCCCTTATTTACATTGGTAGGATTATTAAGACATGATTATGCATGTTTTTTTAATATTTTTTGAACCATTAAGGCTTCCATCAGCAGCATAAGTTTTATCACAGTACTTACATTCGGCTCGTAGTCTCCCGCCTTCAACATACTCAATGAAGTCTTCCCAATAAGGTTTTGTCCTATTACTCTTTCTATTAAGTAGATATTCCTGCCCCATTTTTAACTTCTTACCCAGAGGCAAAGTAGCATACAATTCTTCTACATGCACTTCACTAAGTGATTGTGCCGTGTTTTGAGAATAAGTGGGCGTTCGTTTGGATTGGGAGCTCTCCATCTTCAATAAGTGGGCAGATTTCAATACACTTCTGTTTCAGGATTGCAAGGAAATCAACCAGTGACACAATCAGAATACATACATAAACTTAACTTGCAAGAATCATCCTAAAGTCCTTGCCTTTACGGTGTAGTCGATCCGACAAAACAACCACAATATAATACATACAAAGAAAGACAACACCACGAAAATACACAATCTAGCAAATTTCTCCACAGTAAAGGCCAAAACTATGTATGCACTGGGAATATAATGAGTTTCCTAATTTACATCATATAAATCCATTCCCTTAAATATAATTTCTTTTCCACCTACCATATGAGCTGTCATTTCCCAGACAATCCCGAAATACCAAGACCAAAATTTCACGAAATAACTGAACACTATTAAGCAAATTGTATAGTCAGAAATCCTCTAAAATTGATGATCATATCAATAAAACTTCAAGTGTCAAGAACATCAATCATCTCATTTGCTTCCATTTACAGCAATTGGAACAATAATTCGAACTACGATATCAAATGAGTATCTATCATCTAACTCCCACAACATTTTCCACAAAAATCCCTCTAGAAGATAAAAGGATAAAACTACAATCTATGAAAATTAAGCGTTAATAGTATTAGATCATTGAAAAATTGATTTAAACCCAAAAATAATAACCGATTTCTAGCAAAGGATAAAGACCCAAAAAAATTTAAAGCCCTAAAACCCAAATAATTTCGCAATTGCAGAATTCAAATATCAAGTGAAAAATTACCAAGATTTCTACAAACAATTTAATATTTTGCACATGATTTCAACAAAATTAATCAATAATTATGCTAACTTAATAATCAACTCTCAAAATTTGTCACTTTGACATATAATCGCTGCAGAAATTTTGTATAAAAATTGTACCAAAAAAAAAAACGAACGAAAAAAAACACTAACCATGAATGAGGAGTCGCCGGTGAGAGAGAGAATCGCCAGTGAGAGAGAACTGATTTCGGTGAGAGAGAATCGTCGGTGAAAGAGAGAATCGGGAAAGAGAGAATCGAACTTAGGTTTTTTTTTAGTAATTTGACTAAACGTTCAATTTTTCGTTTCCTGATTATACCAAAAAAAAAAACCGGTTTTTCAGTCCGGATCAGAAAATTCCGAGCTAAACCTGGACCGGATCGATACCCAAAATCACCCATTTTTAAGGACCAGACCTGAATCTTTCGGTCCGTGGTATTTTATGTACACCCCTACTCATAGTAACTCAACTTTCTTCCTCCCTCGTATCTCTCCCTTCCTCGGCTTGACGGCTACTACTGCACTCTTTTCCTCGGCTTCAACCGCTACCCTCTTCTCGCTCCCCGGCAATGACGGACCCACATGTAGTCATTGTGGGTCCCAAGACACAGTCTTTTTTTTAAAAAAAAAAAACAAAAAAAAAAATTATTCCTGATGTTATTTTCTTTTTTCCTCTTTAGGTCTATTTCACGGTCGCAGCCTCCCAGGACAAAGTACTCCTTCCTCTCTCTCTCCTCCATTGAAGCATACGGGCTTCTGAGCTTTCTCTCCTCCATTGAAGCAGCCTCTAAGGTTAGATGCTTCTTTTTCTTTAATCATCTAATATTAATTTTGACAATCTAGTGTTAATCGTGTATTTAATTGTCAGTATATACTCAATTTAGGGTTCTTCGAAGTTGGATAATTGAACTATTGGTTATGGATACTCTAAGAATTTAACGTAATTTTTGGAGTCTAGTTTGATAATTGAGTCAATTTTGGTTGCTAATGTGTTGCGGGGTTTGGTTTGTTCGTTTGTGTAACTCTTTAATGTCAGGATGAAACCATGAAAATTCCAAGGGGTGGGGGAATGGTTTCAGGTAGGTGAAGCAGCGTCTCAACCTAACCAAGGCATCACATCACCTTGCACTACCAATCTAATCGAAGCACTGCACCACCACCTCCATTTCAGTTTATGTCTCTTATTAGATCTTGTTATTCTAAGGTTAGGGGGAGGTTTCAGGTAGGTGAGGGTGGATTTATGGGGGCCAGGGTGGATTTTCGTTGGGTGGAGGTGTCTAATCAATCGTAAGGGTGGCTGGGTGGGTTTTTCGAGAAGGTGGAGCCGTGGAGGTGAATTCAAGGGGGCGGGTAGATTTTTCAGGAGGGTGGAGTTGAACTTACGGGGTTGGGGGGGGGGGGTTCAAGGGGTGGAGGTGAACTTATGAGGGGTGGGTGGGGTTTCCGGTGGTGAGGATCGGTGGTGTTTTCGGTTGGGTAGGTGAATGTCATGGTGATGGTGGTTTTTGGGTGAGTTTTGAAGTTAAGGGCAGTGAGACGGTGATGATTTGGGTGGAGGTGGTGGCAGTGCAATGGTGGTGTGGTGTGTCTTTGGTGAGTCTACGGCGGTTTTGGGTTAGGGAAAGGGATAAATAGTCGCTGAACGAGGAGATAGAAAACGGATCTAGAACGAAGGTCAAGATGAAATCATCGGTCAAAGATTTTTGTTTTTTACCTGTCAATTGCTAATTTTTATTGGGGGTTCGATTGATTCAGTGTTAGATGTTAATTTTGCCAATATGTGCTAAATTTGTTAATTTATTTTGATGGAATTGATCTACTAAATTACTAATAGTCCAGAATTTGTCACTGATAGGACAACCTATTAATCAAATTCTGGATCCGCCACTGGCTCCTGGTGTCCACCGCAACCTACCTCCATCACAACCGGTGCTCCAACTTGAAGATGTACACAACAGCCCGTGCTCCAATTGAAGAGACAAAGATTGCCACCTATTAGCTTCCATCCTCGGCCAAAGTTAAGGTTAGGGTTAGTTGTTTCCTCTCCCTTCCATTATCAACAAGAATTTGAGCTAGCTAAAGTTGGGGTTTTGATTCTCTGATCTTGTTGATGATTTCTTAATTTGATGTTGAATTTGCCTATTAACATATTTAATTTCACTATTTTCATTCTGAATTTTGCATGCATCTCAATTGGTTGAAGTATTTAGATGAATTTGAGAATTTTCGTTTTTTCTTCTTTTCGATTACTGCTGGTTTGATTTACCTTGTAATTTGATCTTTGTTGACTGTGTTGTTTGTAATGCTCCATTCTTATACTAGCTCTTTGTTACATAGTCTCTTTTAGCTTTGGTCATAGAGAAATAGGTGATCCTCAATTTTGACATATAGTACAATTGGCATGCTTTTTCATGGTATAGGGATTACTAGAGGAGTAGAATGCTGGTAATGAAAAGGAAGGGGGAGGTGTTTTCAATGGATTGTAAATAAATCTGTTATTGGTTCCCAATCTATTCTCACTGCAACCCAAACACAGAAACGGGAATTGTCTAGTGTCCAACGTTGGGCCGACCCTTTGCAGTTTTAAAGAGTTTGTCTGTTGTATCTGCAACTCTGCATTTCCCTCTATTGGTACAATACTAAAACAAAGCACATTACTTAATCTTATGAAACTGCTCCTTTTCTTAAGTTTTACTAATAACTTAACCACTTAGATAGGTGTAATAGACTAACCTTGGGAGGGGAGGGACACTATTGGCATCATAGTGTATTTCAGTTATGAGGCAGCTTGGGAAATAAGTTGTGAAGTTTAGACTGAGGGAGGAAATTAAGTAAAACATTGAGATCAGTGAGAAAAATAAGTAGAATATTTTTTGAGTGGGTTTAACTTTATTTTTGCTTAGAATTGGGAGTGTCCAGTTTCTTGAAAAACTGGAATTGTAAACCCCATTTGATGATTTAATTTCATTGATTTAGCTAGGGAAAGACATTGCAAAAGGAACTGTATATCAGGTAGAAGGTGAGTGACATAGCTGCAATCTGTCAGATACTAGAACTTGTGTTGTAGATATTACAGAACTTAGGTCTGAGAGGATTGTAAGGCTTCCCCACCCATCTATCAAAGCTAGAGCCACATTTGAACAAGCAGAAGTAAAGATTGGGACCATGAGAGTGATATGGCCGGGATTCTTGTCGGATGCTCGATTAAGCCATAGAGACAAGAGAGTGTCATATATGTTGTCTCCTACACAAAGACAAGGAGGTTGTTTTAAGTAGAGGTAGCTAGTAATGCTGATCCAAGACAAGGCAAAGCCACAAATTTGGCAGAAACAAACTAACAGGATTAGGTGGGTGCTCTTTTTAAAAGTTGAGCGTCATTTCTTGTAAAGCATCCTTTATTCGAAAGGTGTGCTCTTAACAATCGCATTTGTAAAGGACTATTATTGTCTAATGATATCTGAGAATAATTATCATATATGCTTCAGAGTTCTGAACCAGTTGTACAGCTCCTCCATCTTATACATGTGACCATTACCGTTTATGCTATTTATTTGGCGTTCAAGAGTGTTTGAGCTAAACCGCATACGATGTTTTAGGTAAGATTAGCAGTGTCAAACTGTCAAATGGCTAAAGAAAGCCAGTTACGCTCCCTGTTCTCCTAAAATATTCATAAAAACCCAACGAAAAAAATTAACTCCTAAAATTAGACAGTCAGTTAGGTCGGGTTTGGGTCATTGGTCATTTCAGGACGGATTTTGGGTCCTGGGTCATAAGTGCTCAACCCTCACCAGCGTTTTCGGGTTCAGGTCAACCTAATGGATTTCAAAACAAGTTTTTTAAAAATTTGTTTATGGGTTTTTATTAGAAATATCCAAATTTTCAAGTCTGTTTTGCTAGTTATTTTTCAATTTTTTAATTGAACATTCTTGTCAATATTATTTTTAGCCATTACATTTTTACTACATAATTTAAACAACGCGTTTTTGTGTGCGACTAGCTACACCATGTTCGATCATAGAAGAATAATGTAACCCATATACCAATAACCAAGTAGCCCCTATAACACTGACGGAGCAACCCTTGTAACACCGGCTTTTTTTAATAATATCCTTATAGTGTTGTCTATTATCTCCCAAACCTAATTTAAATCATTACGTTATCTTCAATAATTATCTTTGTATTATAGACTCGTATTATGTAAAATTATCGGTGCAATACAATTCAACCTTAACCTACAAAAGAATGATATAGTGTAAAAGATGTTGGTTTTACAAAATCTAAACTAAACATCATCTGAATGTGGGCTATACGGTCAGTGGCGGTGTGAGTTATGCGGATCCAGTTGGTGCGGGTCGGTAGGTTATGCAGGTGGCGATTGGTGTGGATATGAGGGAGAGATAGATGAGAGAGAAATGAATGTCGAATGGTGGATAGATACTCAAACCCAATAAAAAAATAAAAATAAAAAAACTAATAAATATATTTGTTAAAAAGCAATGGTGGATACAAGGAGGGTTCAAGTAAGCTTTTTTTAATAAAAAATAAACAAATGTTTCGAGACTTTCACTCTTCCCCTAATTCCCATTTTTTAATTTTCCTCCCCAAATTTCCAAACTCAACTCCTGATACGCCACTGCACCGTCCCACCGACCATGAGGCCACGACACTGGACCGAGGACCGCAATCCGAGCTTTTGCCTACCGAGTGCCCGATACATTGTAAGATTGTAAGTTAAATTTGTTTTTTTTTAATTGATATATGATAATTGCTATTTAGCTAATTTGAAATATAATTGAATAATTGATTGTTAATTTGTGGTTGTTGGGGTTTTTAACATGATGATTGATATAAAATTGATATGATTTCTTGATTGATTATTGTCAGTTTGTTTGTAATTGATTTATTGTATAAAAGCTACAAGTTACAAATTTACGATGGAGTTAGACGAGAATGAGCTTCATGAGTTTCATAAGAGATTAGGGTCTCAACTCTTAGAGAGTGAGGGATAGTTCAAGTGGTTAGAGCTTCCCTCCCGGTTCCAAGAAGAAAGCAAGGGATCTAACTCTTAAGGATTGCAAAGTTTTGAATTAGAAAAGGAATTTGGGTTGAATGAAGGGAAGATGATGAACTTGTCGAAGGTGAATGCTGGAGATACTAACGTATTTGGATTAGGAAAGACGGTAAATTTGGTGTTGTTCAGTTTGGATTGGTGTATCATCACTGTTGTTTTTAAGATTGTATCCATTTAAGATTGGTTATTCCACTCATCCAAATACTGTACTCCATCAAGTTCTGAACAGCTGTACCATACCTTAACCTAATCAATTCATCCAGTCCTCTCAAATTTGCAAAAATATTGACAAATTTCAGGTAATCTTCTAAACTATTTGTTGTATATATCATTCCAATTCCTTTGCTATACCCTTATTTTTCATCAATTTCTTTAATTTTTATTAATTATTCTGGGTTCCTTAGTTCTGAATTATTATGATATTTTCTGGGGTTTCGACGTTTTGTTAGTTTGTATTATTTATTTTGTATTTTTTAATAGTTTTTAATTTTAATTTTTCAGGGATTCATTCGTATCTGGGTTTTTATTTTGAATTTTCTGGGTATTTCAGTTGCCTCTTTGTTGTGTTCCTTAGTTCTGAATTATTATGATATTTTCTGGGGTTTCGACGTTTTGTTAGTTTGTATTATTTATTTTGTATTTTTTAATAGTTTTTAATTTTAATTTTTCAGGGATTCATTCGTATCTGGGTTTTTATTTTGAATTTTCTGGGTATTTCAGTTGCCTCTTTGTTGTTCTTGGTTATTAAAGAGAATTCTTGGCTGGGAAAGTTCTGCTTACAATACATATAAGTCTTTTTTTTTTCAATTTTTGCTTATATTTGTATGATAATGATTGGTAGGATTGTGAGCGAGGTTGGTATGTCCAAGTAGTATTTTATTGTTTTACATTGGTGTAAAAGTTTGAAAATTTTGTGAAGAACTACCTTCATGTCATTCAAACTTGAGCTTTTTCCGTCTGTGTTTGGCTTTGACTTGCTAATAGGGTTCTAGTTTTAGTTAGCAATTCAGTGAATATCTTGGTCTTCTTTTTTATTAAGAATTGTGGAGGCTTTGTGTTGGGGTAGAACTGTAGCAGGCAGGTGGAAGTGGATGAAAGAGCAGAAAAATAAGTGCTGATGATGATGTCTTGTGGTCATCGAGGTCCATGAGGATAACAGAGAGTTATATGCAGTCTTAACGTAGTGTTATGTTTCTGTGGATAGGTACAGAACTCCTTGTTACGATGGTGCTCTTGAAGGACATTAAACCAGCTGCATCAAACAATATAGACACTAGATTCATACTGTTGGATAAAGGCAAGATTTCTGCGGAAGGCCAAAACAAGACTTGTTTGGCACTTGTGGCAGACGAGACTGCTGCGGTTCATTTTCAGCTTTGGGGACAGGAATGTGATTTTTTCCAGACAGGCGATATCATCCACCTCTCCAATGGCATATTTTCTTACCAGCGTAAAAATCTAGTGCTGAGAGCAGGCAAGAGAGGGAAGATTCAGAAGGCAGGTGAATTTACTTTGTCCTATGTTGAAACACCCAATATGAGTGAAATTAATTGGAGTCCTGATCCCAACAATCGAAAGAAGTACATTCAGGGATCTGTCAATTCTAATTACTCCCGCATCTTTCCTCCGGTTCGTTAGCTTTTGGCTACATTGTTGCCCATATCAAGCTTGCCTTCTGTGAGACTGGCCTTCCTGCTGCATGAGTGACACATGATGACACGAGTAACTCTTTGCTCAGAAGTCGGAACAACTCTTGGAGAACTCTTTCTATCATCTCTATCTAACGAGCTGCAGGTTTGTGTTTATCTGCAGACTCTTTCAAGGATAAGGATGAAAATGTGTCAATTATGTCTGGTAAACTGAGCTGCTTTAGGAGCGTTCATCATGCTGCAGATCTGCTATGGACTCTTTCAGTGACTTGATTAGACTATAATAACAGATCTTGTTGTCAGAACGAGTAATTTTATTATTTCTGGCATTCCCTTCACTCCTTCAGCAATGAAAATACTGGTAACATCAGGCAGACACTATTGTTCTTGTATATACAGAGAAAGGGGGAAACCTTTTAGCACGCACTTTAAGGAAGTGATTATAGGACCGATTATCAATATTTTAAACACTGGTATGGCTATTAGGTGTATAAATGATTTTGATAAAGTGGTCTGTGTACCTTCTCTAACAGCTAATTCAAAGTGTGTGTCATGGAGGCTATGTTGCTTGTTTTTTCCAAAAAAAATAAAAAATGAAACTCATACTCCCTCCATACCTTTATTTTTGTCTCATTGTCATTTTTTGGGTCAAACTTTGAAAACTTTGACCATAATTTACCGTTAATCAATAAAAAATAATATAGTCATGAGTGGTGTTATTAGATTCGTCTCATTGTATATTTTATTAATATCATGTTTTTATAATTTTTACGTATATGAAAATAAAGATATAGACGTTTTAAAACGCGTCTTGGAGACCGCGCACAGTCAAATGGGGCAAAAAAATAGGGACAGAGGGAGTACATAGTATAAAAAAAAAATTAAAAAAAAAGGTGGCATACACGTCAGATTCTGAAAATGGCGAAGCTAAGCATCATGGCTTTACTCTAGATGAGCTTGATGATATGCTAGATAATTTAGTTATTGCTATTGGCACGCTTATAATAGTTGTCTGTATTATTTTGGGATGTTTATAATTCGTTTTCACATTTTGGTGAAATAAAGTTGAAAATTCTTGACACCTACAAATTAATGTAATTTATTATCTATCCAATATTTTATTACTTGTTTGTAGCTTAAATAATTATACAATTTTTCATACACTGCGTATTATGGTTTATATCTTTCTATACAATTCAATTACCTTAATAATGTAATAAGTTTTATCAAAGAATATCCATAATGAAATGAGGACGTATGTAACAAAACAAACCCAGTACTCATGTACTGGTATTTTTATATGATACCAAAAGCAGATTCACCAATTGGCAATAATACACTTGTTAAAAATAAATTAATTACAGATAAATTATGATTTCATTTTACAATTAATGAACACTCAAATGGAAAGCTTCTCTCAACTGCTTCTGTATCTCCTTATGGCCTGCCTTTACACTACTATTCTACAAAAACAAAGTATCTATGGCTTAATGCATATGCTAACAAAAATGGAACTAACTCTTCAACAATACCGAAGCTACATGTACAGAGGATGAGATTTATACTACTCGTATCTAAAAACCTTTAATTAAAATGAGGCTTACAGCACAGCACTGTAAGGTGTATAATGAAGGTTGGTAAAGCATATGCAGATGCTTTGGCAATTAGGGACTCTGGGCGCAAAGAGGCACATATTGCTGGTGAAATCATACAACCAACTTTAAATATAAGCAAGTGAATTGCGGTCATGATCAGGCTGAGGCCGACCTCTAGTAGGAGTTGGTGGTCTTTGAATGTTGAGTTCCTGACCATTCAAGAAGAAATATCAGCACAAAGCAAACAGGATAGAAGAAAGAGAGAACTCAGCATAAGGGTAGTTACAGAAAAAACTCCCCAAGAACAATAGTTTCAGAACGAACTCAGCATACCTGCATCCAAGTATCATCCATGGAACGTTCTGGAGAAGTCTCGGGTGATTGCATAGGCGGTGGCAAGGGATGAATCAACTTTGGAACCACTACCAAACCACGGCCAATAACCAATATTGCTCCAGCATTGTTTGCAGTCCCTGAAGCAACTTGCAATTAGGATACAAGCTAAAATAGAACAGGGATAATTATTTCTAAACACGATTAACAATTGTAGTTACCACAATAGTTTGTAGCAGAAAAGAGTGTGATCAGCTGCCCTTGAGCAAATCGTTCAAAACCATCCATCACACACTCATGGGCCCTAATAATGAGCTGCAGTTTGTTCTTTTTGCAAAACTCTGTGACTCGGTCAGGCTGTATATGAACCAGTTCCAATTCATTTTAGTAAGGGGAAACAAAAAAAACCTTGATTTTAGAGAACGGAAGCACACAAACTTCAGATAGGCTTGGAAGTCAGATATTACACATCAAAACGAAGTAGCAAATTAAGATGGATGTAAAATTAATCCCCACAAATTTTGATAGCCAAAACTTGTGGTCATGCAATCAAGTCTTGTCATGATTTTTCAGTGATATTTTGTTTTACCAGACATACATTTAAATGATACTTCCAAACTGCACATCTAGAGGACCAATACCTTTCCTTCCTCTATAATATAATCTGGGAAAGCCCCATTCAACTAAGCTTATCAGACAAGCAAACAAGGTGACTTCATCCCATAACTGAACAGAGCAGCAATGCCACCAAAAATTCGCCAGTTCCACTCTAACTAGGTTCTCCACAAAATAGACATCAATGCATTTCTGCAGAGAAACCTTTTCTCCTTCCCCTCACCAAAACCCACAATACAATCTAGAACCACTCATTTATATTCGAAGGACATAGAAATAACTCATCATACACCACATAACAGACAACAACATTGAATTTTTATTAAATATTTGACCAACTAATGATGTGTTCCCAAAGAAAATTTCAATATAGCAGCAGTACATAACTAAGTCCAACAATAACTCTTCTTATACTGCATCTTCCTGGAATAAACAGTCACATGTACCCTCCAGCACAAATTGTCACCAATCCTAATACAAAAAGTTTATGATTTTATTTCACAATATGCCATTTTCATAAAAAGTTCCTTGTCAAGGTTTTTTTTTTTTTTTTTTTTTTTTTTTGTTCAAAAAAAAGGTAAGGTTTATAATTTTATTTCACAAGCAGCCATTTTCATAAAAAGTTCCTTGTTAAGAGTAAAGAATGTTCTTAGTATTGAAGGATAGGGACAATGTGACAACATATCTTGGATGGAAGTACATATTTACGACACCTTAGTCCCAAAATGATTTGGGGTCGGCTAACATGCATCAGAAGTATGTATTTACACATCACCATAAAAATGCATCAATCCATCTTTCACGTACGGTGTGACAAAACTAGAAAATGTCAAAAATCTTTCACGTACAATCCATCAATCTCCTCATCAATTATACAATCTGCCCCATCTCACCCACTATAGCCAAAACCAACATTATACCTTTTTCTCAACTGGAAACCTGAGAATGTAATTTTAAGAGAACATTTACATAAATCTATAAACAAATCTTAAGTATAAGAATTTAATTTCCAAACACACCTCACAATTCCAGTCTCATTTTCTACTAAAAAATTAATTCCAATGACACTTTGCTCAGAGAATAGGTGTTGCGTACTGGTTAATAGCACATTGGAGAATAGAAAATAAACCAATTTGCTCCAATTAAAAGTCAATAGAGATAGAATTATTGCTGTAAGTTGTCAAGGCAATTTGCCACTTCCCTAAAGTCCAAGTTATCACCTACATTAGCCATACATGTACTGTGCTAAAAATCAGAACTTGTACTACTACTGATGAAAGAAGGGGGTTGGGACCACAAAAGGAATAAAGAGGAAACCAATAAGCCAAACATAATTCCACAGAAAGAAGTTAAATATCCAACTGATTGTGCTTTCTCCATTAAAGCAACACCCACAGAAAATAAAAGAGTATTTGTTGCAGTGTTCCAACACAAAGTAAAAACCTCCTAAAGTTGTGTACTACAGATTTATCATTGGAGTAAATGAGAATAATTCCACTGAAGATTTCATTATAATTAATTAATTATTACATATTTAAAAATACAAAAAAAAACAAAACAAAACACACCAAATTTCTAGTTGCATGCAAATTACTCCTGCTCTTCAAGGATTGTGGATACTCCACACGAAAGAAAAGGAGTCCTCAAAATGTAATAGTAATTAATGTCAAAACTAGAACAGTCAAACGTATCAAAAGTAGCTGCATAATACATACCCCAAATGTAACTAATCCAGGACCTCTAGCATTTGGTCTCAGACCTTCTATACTATCATTTTCCGTGGGATCAGACCTGCATAAAGGAATGCTGTGAGGCATCGACAGAAAGCAGCAGAAAGAAAAAAATAGGAGAAATAGCATCAAACTCAGGTATACCACAGCAAATCCATTAGAACTATAGACCCAGCATCCATTGTTATGGGTCTCTCAAGTTTTTCTATTTGTTCCACTGCTTGAATAGACCTTCCAATGCCACCATGCATACAGATAATTTTCTTCTCAATAAGGGCAGCGAGTGGAAGATAGTTGAAGAGCTGATTAAACCGTGTCCATGCCCATATGCCATCATTTTCCCCCTACAATTTGTTATAATGTTAGAACAGCTAAAAATGGTAGTGCTTTCTCACTCTGAAATGAAGTTACAGTTGCACGTTTTCTAGACTTGTTAAAAGCTGCCCATATTAGAAAGTGTGTAGTATGCCAAACGATCATTGGTGGAAGGTGCATATTTAAAAATACTAAAAACTACCTCAGCCCTATTTACTAACTCCGTTTCAATTTTGGGGTATCCCAATTTACTTGCCCCATTTCCTTATAGGAAACTATTTCTCTTACACCTTGGGTTGGGTCCCAGACTCATTGTATTGATTATTGTGCATGTAGCTATGGGGCAAGTAAATAAGGATGAAAGAAATAACAATCATTATTTTGAAAAAAAATTTGTGGATCCATTTTAGAAAACAAAATAATATACAAATTAAATCTTGGGTCTCAGGAGTAAAAAAACAAGTCAACATTACCATTCTCTCAATGCATTCAAGACGAAACCCAAAGAGTGCGTTAATATCAGCAGCTTCATGATTCCCACGTATCAAGTGAACATTTTCAGGATATTCAATCTTCAAAATAAATTAATTTATTAGTTTGTAGTGCACCACAAGTTTATTAAAATAAACTAAGCTAACAAGAGAAATAGAGCAAGCATACCTTCAGAGCAAGAAGTAATGTAATAGTCTCTAAGCTATGTTGCCCACGATCAACGTAGTCACCTAAAAATAGATAGTCAATATACCTGGAACAAAAATATTGACAAATTATTAGCCAACTCATTGATGCAAAACAGCTGCAAAAGCTAATTAACATTTTAAGTCAGGCTCACAGGAACAGTCCAAGTAGTTGAGATCATTGACAAGCATCCTTTAAAAGTGTGGAAAAAGGATAGATAGAATATGAACCTATAAGGATATCACATATCTTAGCATTGACTTCAAAGAAATTGACTAAAGAGCTAATTCTCCCCCAACCTCGTTAGTCGTAATTGTCCATTTATCATGCCCCAAAAATATAAAACTAAAAAAAAAAAAAAAAAAAAAACAAACATATTTTTCTCTCATGCTCATATAAGCTACAGAAACAACAATATAAATTAACTATACCCAATTTAGA